CATTTTTTTAATCATTATTTACTCAAAATCAATTTCTTATCCCGTAAGGTGATTTTAATAGCTTAGCCCCCATATAACATCTTTTAGTTCATTAGATTGACTAAAATGTTTACAGATAAGAATGTGTTTGTTCTGAATCTTAACATTTATATTTAACTTTGGGATAATGTTTCAGCAGTTGCGGCTAATGCTTTCTTTCTTACATTGAAAGGTGGCGTTCTTTTTTTTTCTTGTTTTATATCAAAGAAACATAAGTATAAATTAATACGTTTATAATATCCAGGTATTCGAGTCGGGTAAATAACGACCATATTAATATAAAAGAATTAGCTATTCTAAAAATTAAATAAATAATTAGCATATGAAGAATGCTGAAATAGTTGTACCATTCATTATAAGTAAAGATTCTACTTTTTTTTAGACGAATTTTATCGAGCTGGATACCCTGAGACGCATCAGTAAGTTTCCTCTTTTTTAGACGACTTCTATTTGGTTAAATGAATACATAGGTAGGTTTTTTTGATTTTATTTTTAAATTTTATCTTTTTTACTTGGGTTGGATCACTGCGGGCCGTAGCAATTATATCTTTTTTTTCTTTCCACTTTCGGGTTATTTGGTATTTTACTACAAATTAGTTAATCATATGATCGCCGATCAATTGGAAATATTATTGTATGACAACGTTAGTGATTGAATTAATGAAAACTCGCTCTTTAAATTTTGCTCTTACCTCTTAAAATTTCTACGATCACATAATTACTGTAAGATACATTTCGGATACTTTATTTACAATAAAACGATAAGTCTTATCTAAATTAACGTTACATATTTAGTTTATTATCAATGAAAATCATTCTGGATGCTTGAGGCGTAGAATATATAAACTTTCTCAATCATTTGTTTTTATATTTTTTTTAAAAAAAAAGATAGTAAAAGGAATAATATTTGTTTTTTTTATAGCAGAAGCATATTTTTTTGGGGGGGGATACCGTATTTGTTTGTCATTCAAGAGTGTCATTTAAGAGTAAATCCAAACTTTCGAGATAATTTATTGAAATCTTTAACTATTCGGAAATTTATCAAAACTCGATATGGGAGGATTTCTAGGAAAATCAGGCTCCGAGAAAATTTTGACTATAATTGAGAACTTAATGCATTTTAATCGAATAATTTCAAAAACTAAAATGCAATAAAAATTACAATTTCGTTAAAAATTTCCCGGAACCTGATTTTCCTAGCAATCAACCCATATAACGATACGCGAGAAATCGATTTTGCGATATTGAATATTCAGAATCCTGGTTATAAACCAGTTATGATTTTTTTTTATATTTTAAAGTTAAGTAGTATTTTATAAACAAATTATTATTATCATTATTAAGATGGATATCAACAAAATTAATGTATTATTACGACTTTTAATATTATAAAAAATTATTGAACTAAAATTATTCTTAAACACGTAAAAATTATTTCAAAATCAATTACATAAAGGTTACAAATTATGTTATTATATATTATTGAACATCATACTCTTCAGATTGCTTGAATAGCGATAAGTTAAATGAATAATAAGTTGATAAAATAAATTTATTTTTTAGTTAATCAATAAAAGAAATTCTCCAATTTTTTTTTTAAACCTGTAATCAGTCCTACAAAACTTTATTATCCAAATTTTTTATATAGTTAATAAAAAATTTCAAATCATGGTGCATATAACGATAAATGCTGCTAACAAAGATTTAAATATGTAAAATTTGAATATTAAAAATTATAAAAGGACCATGAAAAGGTTATTAATAGAATTTTTTACGTGGTAAATATGGTGGATAAATTAAGGAATCGTGAAAATTTGGTAATTTAGTTATCCGAGTATTTTCGTAGTTCAGTACAGTCAAGGAGGATGGTAAAGTTGGTAAGCTATTTATTGGAGTATAATCACAATAGAGTTCCGCTAAGGAGTCGGGTAAAGTTGGTAAGCTATTTATTTGAGTATGACTACAATAGAGTATTGTTAAGGAGTCGGGTAAAGTTGGTAGCTTAATTATTCGAGTATAATTACAATTGAGTATTTTTAAGGAGTCGGGTAAGGTTGGTAAGCTATATATTTGAGTATGACTACAATAGAGTTTTGTTAAGGAGTCGGGTAAAGTTGGTAAGCTATTTATTTGAGTATAAGAGCAATAGAGTTCCGTTAAGGAGTCGGGTAAAGTTGGTAAGCTAGTAATATTAGTACTATAGCAAGAGAGTTTTGTTAAGGAGTCGGGTAAAGTTGGTAAGCTATATATTCGAGTATGACTACAATTGAGTACTTTTAATTTCCGATATCTTTGCAATCCTCCTAAGGCGTTTAATGTATTTTTGTTACGATCCGTAATCATTAAACTATCAATAGTATCATCGTAAATGATGTTTGATGTTTCATTATTCGATTCTAATTTTTCTACATTCATCTGATCTAATTTTTGATTCAATTGAGATAAGTCCCCATGAAATGAATTATTCATGCTATAATAAATTTGTAGTTCTGACGATTGAAGGTTTGAATCTTCATTATTAATTTGATCTATTATATTTGTTTTTGTAATTATATCATTTAATTTTTCAACTACTTTGCTCATAACCGGACGATTGTCTGGCTCGTCGTCCCAGCAATCTAAAATCATATAAGCAATTCAATGATCGAAAACAATATATTTAAATTTATAATATTATATTTACCTGTATAAATGTTTACATAATCTTCAAGCGTACCAGGAATAACACTTTCTCTGAGTCCTTTTTTAATTTTTATGGCTAAATAGATGTCGAATTGTTTACCTTCGACATAAAAAGGAGGGCGGCCACTTGATATCTCCCATAAAAGCACGCCAACACTGTAAACGTCACTTTTTTCATTTGGCAAATATTTTTGCGACGTATTGTTATCAGTTCTTCGACTAGAAAATTTTTTCGGATCTAAATAAGAAATTATACCAAAAACGTTTGACTGGTTGGTTGCTTCGTCAATTCTTTTCGATAGACCAAAGTCTGCTAGTTTAATTACACCTTGATGAATTAATATATTGCCGGAATGCTATTAAATGTATATGATTTAAATATTAATTTTTGACAATAAGATAAGCAAAATGAGATATATATATGTAAGATTACCAGATCACGATGCACAATTCCTTCGTCATGTAAACACGACACAGCACTAGCCAACTGGAATGCCAAGTTGTATTTGTCTTCCCAAGAAAGCTTATCAAAATTATTTTTCAAGTAGCTTCTGAGAACACCGCCATCAGCATATTCCATTACAATCAAATATTTTTTCAATTGATCATTTTGATTTTCTAATTTTTATTTTATTTTTAAAAATATATAAATTAGTTAAAAATTCAATGTAAAAGCCAAAAATAAATTATTAATTAACCTGACTTAAATAAGATATTATACCTTTGTTTGATGAATGATAATTATTGACGAAGAAAATACCTTTTCTATTTTCAAGTTTCAGAAATGTTACATAAAATCAAGCCAAATGAGCTCCAACGGATTCTACCTAGGAAACTTTCGAGAAAGTTTTCAAGGCAAAAAATGTAACCGCAAAATACATAGATGATAAATACTGGCCTCTTCCAAAATGTGGAGATTACTTCTCTTCTCACAAGACTTCTTTTATAACCGGTTCGCACAAGTTGTCTAACAAAATGAGAGAGCGGGGGTAATATGATGAAGTAATCTATGATCCTATTTTTACTTAAATAGATATATAAAAATATAAGTTGTACAAAAATCTAAAATTTTTTTTCTTGTGTGACGGTAAATTATTATCTGCGCGTATTATTTTGGAAATTTTTTTTTTAGCTTATCCAAATTTAGAATGATTCACGTTTCAATTTCGTGACAAGTTGTCTTCCTAACTTGTGAAAATGATGAGTCTGGTAAAAAATTATTGAATCTTTATTGTCATGATCTCAGTAATTTTTCTTGTATCAACCAGAAAAAAAAAATGAAAAAAATAGTTTTATATATCAAGTACAATCAAATACCGATATTTTTTCCCGTGATCACCTCTGGATTATTATAATAAAGATAATTTAGACTATTTAAAATATTCATTATTAAAATAATAATAATAATAATCGCGCCCAAAGATTAAAGATAATGAGCCGTCCTCAAAGTTTTGAAAAACTATATATCTTACAAAAAAATTTTTTTGAAATAAAATTTTGGGTAATTAAAAGAATTTTTCACTAATTCTCGCTTTGCAGGAAAAGTTGAAAATGATTTTCAGCCGTTTCATTCATTCTTCGATAAACTTTTAAATTTTTTTCGGGAATAAAATCAAACCCAACCCACTTCAAGTTATTTCGCTCTTTGAAAAATCCAAAAAGATTAAAAGATTTGTCTCTTTAATAACATTCGTAATGATAATAGAAAAAGGCGAACAATATTTAAATAGGTACCCTTTAAACTTTTAAATATCAAAATTAATTAGCTCCAAATATTGCAATTTTTCTAATCGAAGCTTTGAAAATTCATTCTCCAATTCATCAAAAATGTAAGTATTGTAACTTTAATTGAGTGACATTTTTTAAAAAACTTATATAATTGATATCACGCTTGCTATATCAATTTTCCCATTAAAAAGCGCTTAAGTATAAGTGAGTAATGTTTTGACAATGATTCACTAATGTTTCAAGTCCCTCGCTATCATCCGATCTAAATTTTATCGAAACACTAAAGATTCTAATCTGGTACTTAGTGAAAGAGAGGCAAGGAAAACACAGAAATGATCAAATCATCCAACACCAAACTCATCAATTTGTGAACAGGTAACGCATCGATCAACTTATTCATGTCTCCATATACCTTATAAAAACGACAATAAGTTAACTCTGGTTGTGACTTGATTAATCCCGTTAATATTTCCGCAATCATACAATTTGGACCTTTATTCTATTAACATCCAGGTGAGCGAGTCCATAACAAACATTTGGTAATAATTTTAAGAGGTCATATAAAAATTCTACCTTCGCTCGTGCTGATCTAACAAGTTCGCGAAAAATAACGAAGCTTAAGCTTTCGCAAATTGGCTAATCCCAGTTCATTATCGATAAAGATCCTACTTTTTGGTAAATCTTTGTCATTAACATTAACATAAGGACTTAAGATAAGATATTTCAAATATGACGCACTTCTCATAAACATGTTGGCATTTTTTGCTCGTGGTGAAATTGTATGTTCCGTATTGAATAAAGATTCTGAAGCATTTCATCTTTTTCAAAGTTTCAAAGGTTTCAAACTGTTGTGAACTTAAAACACTATAATTCTTAATCCAAACATCTGTTGCTTTTTCAATAGCTCCAATATCAAGGATATGTATATAATTAAATAAAGGAGTTGGACGTTTCTATAAATCCGAGAGATCAATACCTTCGCTAGAACAACATGATTTTTCTCCTTCATTAAGAAAGTAATGAACACTCCTATTTCAATTATATTCTTCCTTGTCAGATTATACGGCATCGGTTCCTCCAAATTATTGGAATAACTTTCGAACAGAAGAACATTTTTTTTTAACAATCGAATCTTTATTGATATTATATGAAAAAGGATCAAACAATTCGAAATTTTTTTTTTTTTTTTTCAACAATCAAATCTTAATTGATAAGGATCAACGAAAAAATGAACAGAATTTATTTTTTTTTTTTGTTTGCACATCGTTTTTTATTATATGGGAGGTTTGCTATTAAAATCGAGTTACGAACATAGTAAATCATATGATCCGTAAGGTGATTTTAATAGCT